ACTAAGTAATAAAAGCTAGAGAGAAAAATATAGTATAGTATTATATAACTAGTTTATAGTATATATTATAATTTTCTTTTATAGATAGATAGGTATCTTTAGCGTGGTAAATAGCGGGCAGAGGGTGGGTAGCTAAATAACTTAGTAAATACTTATCTAAATTAGGTAAGTAGTAACTTATTTTAAAGCTTACTATTAGCTCTATAACTTACTAATATATTATATTAAGATAAGTCTAATACTACTAGCGCTAGAACTAAAAGAAAAATAATTTTATATAAGGACCTAACCTACTATCTAACCTAGAGGTCCTAAATATAGATAGCTAAATAACTTCTTTAATATTATAGATACGGCTTAATAATGTACTATATAATAGAAAGCGCTTAGTTAGCGCTTTAAAATAAGCTACTTTTTACCTAATTTGGACTAGAGTGGAATTAATTATGAATTTTTAAAGAAAAGTGGGTCGCTACCTATTTACCAGTCTAGGTACCTTCTCTAATTGATTCTTTATACTAATTAAATTTTAGCTTACTTCTACTTAATTGCGGGTGGCCTCTCTAATCTTTTAAGCTTGATCACGTATCGTGCTATAATATATAAAACTAGAGTAGTAATAAAACTTACTTTAAAAGCTAAAGATTTCTTAATATTTTAGAGAAGTAATGTAAAAAAATATAACTAAAAGTTATCTCTTTTAAACTAAAAGAACTTAGTAGAAAAAGAGTTAATTCCTAATTGCCTAGGAGTTTAAATAGCCAAGATGCTAAGTGTATTCCCTAAAATAGCTTAGCTACTATTCAGTAAGCGGCTATCTTAAATACAGAGAGTTAAGCCCTCTCTACTATTATTTCTCTTTACCTATGCTCAGATCCCTTTAACGTCTCACAGCAACATAGTAATGGTGAACCTTATCGTTAATAAGCTCTAGAGCACTAAGCACTAATAACAAGCTAACTCGATATTCAAGAGATCCGTGTATCACTACGTACTATAGTATTCTGTAGATACTCAATACATAACTAAGTTCCCACGCACTTTATTCTCTCAAGAGCTTTGAAATATTTCAATCTTCTATATTTAAGCATTACGATTTTTATTCTACGACTCTCCTTCTAGATTATGGCCATAAAATTCTTATCGCTACCGTTTTTCTCGCTACGTCACTCGCATCCGCCTAGACGATACCAGAAATTCCGCCAAAACATCCAGTATGTAGGAAGCGCCCGTTTGGACCTTTTGGCATACCGAAGCTAGCTCAAAGATGCTCTAATTCAAGAAGCTATGATAACCAACTCGACAACCTATGCGATCTTGGTACATACGCATGTATAGGCTATGCCCATATTTACTCTAACGACCGATATTGCACTATATACGTCAAATCAGTCTTCGAATCTAACCTAGCAATAGATCACTATTCAATCATAGTTTTTACAAAGTAAACAGTAATATACAAAAGTATCAATGTTGCCGCTGAGGGGTATAACGGCCTTAGAGTAGCTCCTCGATAGGACCTTGGGTAGCTCACAGAATCCGGGTAAGGTCTCTAGTAGTTAGCACCACGGTTCCTGTTATCTCACCCGCGCTCTGATCCTGCCGGGCCACCTGTCCCGGCGACGCTCATATACATAAGCGAGCATGTTTTTCTAATCTATACGCAGATGTAAGCCCTCTACTACATAGTTACTAGCTCTCCACAAAATACGACTCTATTGCATCTAGCATGTTACACTAGGAACTAGAGACAGTAGTTATAATTACGGCCATGCCGACAAGGACCAAGGTCGCTCACCAACGTCCCATCTCGCGGGCTCTTCACCCATGTGAAATACGAGTTCGCCTCCCCGCGCAATCTCTTCATGCTTCAGCCAAGCTCGGTCAAGCTGTTGTCCATTCCAGGTGACCCTTTGCGGGTAGTAACTTGTGCCCGACATATTGCACGCCAACACGGTCAGGAAAGTATCTACTGACGTTTCGCTGAAGAGCGAGATATTCAGCGACGAGAAGTGAGGGGCAGAAAGGAGGTAAAGCGGTTGGCCAGGCACAGGGTACAGCCCCACAAGATTGAAGATTAGCCAGCTAGGTAGCGCGCCGCCGTCAATATTCCCCGGGTACCCATTGCGCGCATCGCTGTAGAAGGCGTCAACCGTGGCTCGCGTCTGATTGACTGTTTTCCAGTGCATTCCGGGGACGTAGTTGTAAAGGAATGACGTTGCGAATGACGGTTCGTTGCCAGGATTGAAGAGGGCAGATCCAGCATCGTTGTTCGCGCCAACTGATGTGCCGAAACCGGGGACAAAACTGGCGTCTAGTCGACGAACGAAAGCTTCGTCGCCACCCATTAAATTGATGACTTTGGCCATGTCGTGTGGGGCGACACTGAATGCAGTCTCCCAAACCTTGGCCTCGTATATGTCTGCATCCCATCCGCAAGTTCCGCAACTCAACGGGTCATAGGCAGTGAGGTTCCACGTACCGTCCGCATTTCTAGCCCCTGGAAAGCCTGTGAATGTGCCGATGCCGTCAAGGGTCGTGTTTGCCGTTGGATTCCATTGGTTCTGCCACCAGCTCGCTCGATCGCGCATTCGATTGACCTCTTCTTGAGGTTTATCAAGTCCTTGCGCTATACTGTAGATCGCGAAATCATTCTGCGGGTACTCGACGCCACGAGAGATGCTGCGTGTGTGATTGCGCGTGATAAATTTGAGGGAGAGATAGTCATCTAATGCTCCTCTTCCTTCCTTGGTGGCCCCGTCAAATGCTACCGGATCGACATTGCGCTCAGGCATGACATTTGCGTCTTTCATCACCGCTCTGTAAGCTTCCTGCCAATCAATTGCATTGTCGAGCTCTCCGAGGCCTGTCTCGCCTTTTAATGTGCGAACGTTTTTTACAAAAGCATCGGCTAAGACGATGTCTGCGTGTGTGCCACCTTGAACACGGCCATTCCAGTTTGCTGCACGGCCAGCGGGTAGGTAGCCCTCTTCGGTGAAAATTGAGATAAGTCCAGATAGAATACGAGAATATGGTTTTGTGAAAAGAAGGTGATAAAGTGGTAACAGAGTCCGGTACGTATCCCACAGTGTCTATAGCAGTTAGTTTTCACGTTGTTGTCTGCGAGCGGTGGACTTACATAGTGGTCGTCGTAATATGGCTTTGACTCATTTGACTCCCACATAGGATTCTCACCCGTTTTGTCAGTTGGCATCAGGCATGTCTGATACAGGGCCGAATACAGCATCCGCTTCAGTGTCGCATTGTTGCTTGTCGTGTCGCCATTGTTTCCAATTCGTATCTTGCTTAGCACCCTAGCTTCCCATTCTTGCCTCGCTTGCTCTACTACATCCTCCAAAGACTTTGTATTAGGAAGCTCGTTTTCCACGTGCGAGCATGCCTGTGCAGCACTAATGTAAGAGATGCCCAATCTGGCTTCAAGCGTAAGGGTACCGTTCACTTGCGCCTCTGTTGGCGACCAGCTGAATAAAGCACCAAGGCCCATTCCGCTCCCAGCGTGGGACTGTACATCAGGATATCCCCTAGGGACAGGTCGAGTTGTCGGTGGCGAGAAAGGGTTGTATTGCCAACTGAACGTACCAGCGCCAGAGGCGATACCCGAGTGCTCTCCTTGTACATAGTCTGATGTTGGGGTTAGTATGGAGTTTGCAGGGACACTGAAGTTCCCGCAAAAGTGGATCGTGTGAGAATCCGGCTGTGGCCAGCCGCCAGTGTAAGATGCAAACCCATGGTATGACGGCAACGCGCTAGAAAAAGACGGAACATGCAACTCCCCGCGCAGAAATTTTTGAGAGTAGGCCATCGATGAGTAGGCTGGAAGTACATGCGTGAGGTCTACCAGTACGTGCGCATCATGTCCATTGGTTGCGCCAGCCTTTACCGTCATTGATTCACCACTCAAGGTGGATGAACGGTTCGAAGGCGCTCCAAGCTGAGGGAACGTGTATCGCATGAATGCTGTGTGATTGCCTGAAGTGATCTCGATCTTGACACCATTTTGCAGAGTCGTAGTGAATAAACCTACAGTTGCAGATTCCGAGTCAAGACTACGATTTTGAGCATATGTCATATTGTCAGCGAGGTTCACGGATGCTAGATTGCCAAGGAGAGGCATCTGCGATATCAAGCCGTCTATATCCTTTCAGTACTGATAGCTGATTGCGGGAATAGGGAACTGACATGTTGGCGCTCCTCCAGATCCGCTTACGTGGGTCATGCTCACAGCGGTCACGTTGCCCAAAGGCGTGTATCCAGCATTGGCATCCACTGCACTGCCATTTGGAAGTCCGATATAGCTCGTGTCAATTCCAGGCTTCGCCATCGCCCACGGTAGACTCGCGCCAGGAAACGAGTTTCCGCCTGCGATCGCGGAACCTGGGCGTGGGCCGACAGTACCGATCAAAGGATCTACGAACGACCACAACGGCTCCTGAGAAATATTCTCTCCTGAAGCCGCTGAAACAAGGCATCTGGATCCAATGCTCGTCCCTAGAAGGAGGAGGCGCGATAGAAAATATTGCCGCCGACTAGCCATTTTAGATCGTATTGTCGCACAAACTGTGGTTGGGCTTGCGTTAGGCAAGGGCAGCAGCTGGCGATTGCGACTTATCTGTACTCACCTCACAATGTACGCTAAATACGATTCTCCGTTGCCGGCTCTTCGCGGCGCGACAGCGAGGTCACTATATATGTGCTCGCGAATGAGGATCCAGAGCTAATTCAGAAGACAAAGCACTCCCGATAGTCATCCTCTGCCGGGACTTCCATCGCCCGGCCCTTTGTGCTCCGCGATCTTACTACTCCGCAATGGTAGGGTGACGTCGGGAACGTGGAGAAGGACCGATTCCATTGGGGTTGGTCTCGCTACAGTGCAATCGTAGCGGTTCCAATTTCACCGAGCTTAGAATGTACCTAATCACTTATTGCCTACTGCTATGAAATCAATTTTCTATCTCCTAGAATAATTTCCCTTGATCATTCCATGGGTGTACGCAAGGTATTGCTGGTGATATGATAATTGCTTCAACGGTGGTTCAGGAAAAGCAGGGTAGTCTTGTACTTGGGACTATCATCGGGAGAACGGTAACGACGGCCGATGCACTTCGAATGGCAGTAACATCGGAGTAAGACTTTCTTACCACGTACGATGTGTCGCTAATACAGGGTTAGATATGCGATAATCTCTAGGTCAAGATCTTCATCAAGTTTCTTTTTTACAATAGCGAGTAAGCTTCGAAGTTAAACACATTCTCTCTCTAAATCAATGCATCAAGGATATGTGCATGATGCTTCTAGTCCTGCTCTCCCCTAATCTATTCAAAAGATAACACTGCATCAATGTCGGTGTAACTACATGTTGCCAAGCGCTGGCATGAGGTTATTTCGGACGACGAGTACATATTTCTAGCAGATGAAAGATCTTCATTGGATAGACAAAGCCCCCATAGTTATTGATGGGCAGATCTTGTCATACTTCTCTGCCTTAGCGAAACTAAGTCGCGGTTGATTGTCAACCGCAATTTCAGCCCATGTCTCAGCCAATGGGTTGAATCGTGGCCAGTGCAAGTTATCAATCAGACCATTCTGAGGGTCAGCAGAGAATGCGGCTACTGCTCTCTGGAAAAGTTTCACGGTCTCTTTCTGAGGTCTGGTCTCAGGAAGTCCACTGGTCTCCTCTGAGCCTCCGAGTATCATGTGCAACTCAGAACCATGGTAAGCACCGCTTGTTGGGTAGAGACGGGTGTTATCCCAGTCGCCATAGTAGCGGTAAACAAAGGTTGAAATGCTCTCATTGAAGAGCTTATTGGCCTCGTAGGATACAGGACAGACAAAAGATTCTAGTAAGAATTGAGAGGCCTGTGCCTCTGTGATGTTACGCCCAGCCGCAAATGCCGGAATCACGTAGTATCCTTGCTCGTTGTTATTATGACCGAGGAAATAGGGTAGCCGGGCAAAGTTACCGGCTTTTGCGAGTGCCTGATAATTGCTGAAAACGAGTTTCTCGTCGACGATGGGGTAGAAAGGTGGAGTAGACCGCACTGGGCTTCCTCCTGAACTGACTGGGATCTTTGCTGCAGCAGAGGAAATCGTTTCCCATGGTAACCCACGCATGCAAGAAAGAGTATCGCTTGAGAAACCGCAACCGACTGCAGTGGTGAGGTTGTTCCAGTTGTCTCTCTGCTTTTGGACATTGTTCAAAGGGAAACTGAACACGGTTCCAGAAGTGGACATAAGGCCGTGGACAATGGGATTTTGCTCGTACGCATATGACCACCAATCCACTGAAACACCGCCTGATGATTGTCCAGAAATAACCATGTGATCTGGGTTTCCTCCGAATGATCTAATGTTCTCTTGAAGCCATTCGACTGCAATTCGCTGATCCCGCAACCCAAGATTGGTATCAGCACCTGGTGCACCAGGGAAACCGAAAACGTTTAAACGATAGTTGACTGAAACTACAATGATATCCTCTGCGTTGGCAAGATGCTGACCGTTGGCGAAGGGTGTATTTGACCCACCTCCAGCAAAACCTACTCAAAGTTAACGAAAAACAATCAGATGTCATTGCGAAGACTGAAAACTCACGTCCTCCGTGGAACAGGATCCAAACTGGTTTATCCGAATCCATAGACTTCGTTGATGGCTTTGCCCAAATGTTTAATTTTAGGCAATCCTCGCTCCGCTGTGTGCCAGCGGCACTGGTGAAATAGTTCAGTATTCGAAGGGCCTGTGTAGTGAAACTTGGAAACTTGGGCTGGGTCGCAGCTTGTTGCGGGCAGTCACTATGAATGGTTAGACAAGGTTTTGCATTTTTGCATTGATCACTGCTTACGATCCCTGTGCAGAGAATTATTCGTAAAAATTCATTAGAACCTTTTCATAGAAGTAGAATTTCTTATTGCGCAGGTACTTACATAGTTCGCGGCTATGTAAGTATCTCTTAAATTATATTTCTTGGGTGCAGCAAACCGTAGGTCTCCTAGCGGCGCCTGGGCGTAGGGAATCCCCAAATACTCCCAGACATCTTTAGCTATCGGTGCACGGTGGCCGGTGATAGCCCCATTCTGTGTTTGAACAGTCTCATAGGATTGGGCCGATGTGTTCTTTGTCAGTGCGAATGCACAAGGGCACAAAGCAGCGATGAAAAGGGCTCGCATCTTGTAAACTGTGAGGCTGTCGCTAGAAAGTAGAGCAACGATGTAAAATATTGCGAATGCGTGGCCTGCCTTACTTATATGCGAACAACCCCTGTGTTATTCGCGCCACAGCGGCAAAAGGTCCAGTTTTGGAAACGGAGGTATACAGAATTGGCGTGCAGGGGTTAAATTTCCATCCGCGGTCCCAGATACAGTAACCGTGCGCGTGACGAGCCACTTCGCGTGACGAGCCACCCCACCATCCCAACATTGCGCGTCGTCCCATCTTCAACGCGGCATAACTCAACCACCATGGATCCAATTCAAGAAGCGATTGAATATATTGAATCGCGTGAGGCTGGAGATAAATTCTCGTACCGCCAAGTTGCAAAAATATTCAGAGTTAATCGAACAACGCTATCGCGGCGGCACAAGGGTTTGCAGGT